AAAGGAAACAACATATATATATATATATATATATGTGTGAAATACAACATTAATATTGATAACAATATTGAGGCAACAAAATATTAAAAAATATAAAGTATTAGTATGTGTTTGCATTCGCGTTTAAAACGTGAAAAATCACGTTTAACATGAAAGTTATTATTCATTGTTTCTTGTTAAACGTGATTTTTCATGATTCAAACGTGAATGCAAACACACGTTTAATTTCATACCTCTTCAGCAGCAACAGATATTTCATTAGCTTTTTCCTCAGCCTCTTGGCGGATGAATCTAATCATCTGCTGGATCTGCCTTGACACATCTGCGTCCTTCATTTTTCCTTTTCACTTGTTTTCCAACACAACCTGTAAGACGTGAATACAATCTTTGTATTTATTTATTGGTAATTTCTCAAAAATCAATAATAAAAACGAGATAGAAAAGAAAGTGTGGTGTCTTTGTCAGTTGTTAGTTGTTACCTATACAATTAATTGTCTTCTCCAAGCCTAAGTATTTGAAGGAAATGGAAGTGTAACTAGTTTGATTCCTTATAAAACAATTGTGAGATTATATTTACGTGAGTAATTGTGTTTTAATTTAATATGTGTTATATATGATAAATAACAAGTGGAATTTTTAAAACGAGAGGAAAAAAACTTAAAGCTGATAATTAGCCTTCATCCATTGGTTTAGTCAATTGAGATATATCATCAATGCATTGATTTCGGTGTGTTTAAGGACTGGATCTTAAACAAATATATCCTATTTTTGGAATTTTGAACAAGCAAAGCAAGGACAAAAGAGATTGAAGCGAAAAGAAATTAACTCAAGACAAGATCCACCTATCATATAATTATCCTAATATATTTTTTTCCACAAAAAAAAAATGTTCTTCAACAACAAATTGAACGGCTACATTAGTTTCCACATCATTTTTGTAATTTTAGTTTTGCATCATCTCTTTCATACTTTCATAAACCAGGGAAAAACTGTTATTTTATTAATGATGACGTGAATTATTCAAATCAAATGACTTTCAAAGCCCACTTTTTTTTTAATTTATTAAAAAAGCCCACTTTTATAAAATGTAAATAAAAAATGCATGTAATTGATAAGAAACGTTCTCATGATGATGTATATTACCTTCATCAACGAAAGTAAAACCAAGTAAAAAAAATTGACGTGTCAACCTTGATAATATGCATCGAATCTTTATTTTCAGGTTTTTTACTCATCACAGTCTTTTTTCACTAATTACAAAATTGTGTAGATTTTAATTTTTTTAAAATAAAGTAACTTATAAAAAAGAATCACGACTTCAATTCCATTAAAAAATGAATGTAACCATGACTTATGTATATTAAGAGATAAAACATATTTACCTCATATTTTTTCTCTTAAATTTGTTTAGATATAGTCTTCAAAATTATTTTTAGTCCTATTCTAGTTACAATTTTTGAAAATACATCACTTTTAATTTTCAAGATAGTTTACATAACGTTTTTATAATCATTTTTTAAGTATTATTTAAAACATTTTGAGTGGTTATTTTCAAATTAAAGAAGCTAAAATATTACAATTTTTGTTTGAGGACCAAAATCAAAAAGTTTTGAGGAATTAAACAATTTGGTACTCTTATTATTATATAAGACTACGAGTTAATCGATCAGGAGAGGGAGTTATTAGATTACACATGGAGTTTGATATAGTTGGATCACATTAATAAAATACTTTTGTGCACTTTTACTTTTTTTACGATGAAAAATAAACTCACCCAAATTTCATAGCGCTTCCTCTTCTTCACTTATAACAAACCAACGAAAATATAAATCATAAAAATAAACTTTGTATTATAAATATCTTCATTGAACTAGCATGTGCCAAAACTTTGTGTCATGTCGTGTTCTGCAACCCTAAAACACCAGTGTTTTTTTTTTTTTTGTTGAACCTTCACATCACCTGTTTCTAACATGTTCACAATAGATTCTACACCTGGCAATTTGGCTAAACAATTAACACCACCTTCCTATATTTTTCTCATGAATTAATTTACTTTGAACACAACTACACAAGTCGATCACACGATTAATTTATTATAAGCATGTTACCTTATTATGAACAACCAATAATGCAAAGAAAAATAAAATACAAAAAAAAAAACAAAAAAAAAAAACAAAAAAAAAAAACAAAAAAAAAAAACAAAAAAAAAAAACAAAAAAAAAAAACAAAAAAAAAAAACAAAAAAAAAAAACAAAAAAAAAAAACAAAAAAAAAAAACAAAAAAAAAAAACAAAAATTTATTGCTTGCAAATTGTACAATAAATAAATTCGAAGTTCTTTATTGAAAAAACAAACAAGGGACTGCAAATGAGCCAAAACAAGACTGAGATATTCTGCAACAAACTTGACCAACATGAAAAAAAGATAAAAATAAAAATGGTGTGAAATAGAGCATTATTGTTGAGCAGACAAAGCATGAATAAAAGTTTTGATTACCCCATATAACTCCTTTGCCTTTAATGGCTCACTATCTTGAATCCCATGATAAGCTCCGGGAGTAAAATGTCCCACAACTCTCACACCCTTACTTTGCATCAATCTCACTAGCTGCACCTGTCGATCCACAAGTGGGTCACCGCCACAGCCGGTAACCAGTACCCACCATCCAAGCCGTCTGATCATCTCCAATCTGGCAGGACCATTCCCCGCCGTTGGATTGCAAAACTCGTGATCACGGTTAACCCCAACGGGTAACGACAACTTCCACAACGCATCATTGTAACACAACGCCAAATGAGGTTCATTCGCCAGCCTCAGTTCCGAACCGGTCCTGCGGGTCCCACTGAAAAACGGTTGAACCAATATAAGCCCTTTGATCTCAGGCGCCAGATCATCACCCGCAGCTGCACGTAGACCTGCGTTGTAGGCGATGTTTCCCCCGGCACTACTCCCCACGAGAAAAACATTGGAATAGTCGACGTAGCTTCTCAGCCAATCATCGGCTTGGCTGGTTTTGATCCAGTGCAGCGCCTCCACGGCATCCTCGTACGCCGCGGGGAGCCTGTGTTCCGGTGCGAGACGGTACTCGATGGACGCGACGACGGCTACGACGTCGTTCGCCATGTTGAAGCAAAAGTCGTGGAATATGGTTGAGGCTGCACTGAGGAAAATGAAACCTCCACCATGGAAGAAAACTAGAAGGGGGAGTTTGGAGGCGTGATTCAGTGCTTCGCGGGGTAGGTAGATCCTCGCCCACGTGCCTTTTGATTGGTTGATGGTGAGGTCTTTGGAGAGTACGAGGAGGGTGGGATCCAGTGCGGGCGGGCTCTCTGGGGGTTTGCTTGGGCGCGTCACTGTGCCGTTTGGGTTAAGGATGAGGTTGAATTGTTTGTAAGGGTTCTTGTAGCATGGGGTTTGGAGAGTGAGTGAATTTGCAATTAAGAGGAAAAAGGTTAAGGAAAATGCAAATGCAGTTGAAGATTTCAGGGGCATGGTTGATTTTTGAAAACTATGATATGATGGAAGCTTGGGAGGAAGAGGGAGAAGAAGAAACAATTGATGAATTTGAAGAGAGAAGTTATTAACTAACTAAAGACAAGATCCACCTATCATACATATACATTATCCTTATCCTGACACATCTTTTGTCCACAAAAAAGCCACTCTTTAGCAACTTGCAGGGCTACATAAGGTACCCCATGAATTAATCAGGGACATTCTAATTTTACCTTAATTTGATTATACTTATAAAATAAGATTAGATACGCACACGTACCACCAAAAATATAAATGAATGAACACAAAATAAATTTCCAGCCATGATATGAATCATAGAGATACAAACTTAGAACAAATTTTTAGACTTTTTTTTTTACTGAAAATAAAAATTCGAAATTTTTTCTAAGTTTGTATCCGATTGGACTCAAACTTTGTATTAGAAATAACTTGATTGAACTAGTAGGAGCTCCAGCACTGCCAAAACTTTTGCAACTGTTGATCTCAATCTACAATCACTCCTCTGTGCCAGATCAATGAGAACCACCTGAGCCAATTCTCCATATTTCGTTCTGTGTTCTTCTACCCTGAATATTCTCTCCAACATCCATAGTGCTTTTTCTTGAACCTTTGCATTTCCTACTTCTAATATGTTTACAATGGCTTGTACACCTGACAGTTTGGCTATGCAATTGGCACCACCTTCCCAGATTTCGTCTTGCAATAGAGTGGAAAGGGCATTCAAAGCAGCTTCCACTGCTTCCCAATCCTTATCTTCCAGTATTTGGATAAGGGGAGAAACAGCACCAGCCTTGACCAGACAAAATGTGCTTCTCACAAAGCAATAGCCATCATGAACTTCACAATATGCATCTATTGATGGGGCAACACACAGCCACCTTGACTTCCTACACGTCCTCAGAGAGAGAGAATTCTCTGACAGTTGAGCGAGGGCGGTTGCAGCTCTGAATTTTGTGATTGATGAACCTCTTGAGAGCAGTGCCACAAGCAAAGGAATCACCCCTTGTTGTGCTGAAAAAATTTGTAGTTTCTTGTCAGAAGAATTTGTGAACCGGATTGCAACGCCAGCAATACTCTCCACGAAGCTACTTTTTGTAGGTGAGTTACTTCCTGTGTCTGTATTCATAGTGGATATCAAAATAGGCAACAAATTTGCTCTCTTTAGTACATCTGTTACTTTTTTATCACTAACAGGAAGATTACTCAGTATGCCAACAGCAGCAGCCTTTTCACTATCTGATGTTGATGATGAAACAATGCCAACAATGTCAAAAAGATGAGTTTCATCAAAATGTGAAGTTAACTCATCTGTTAGATCGTCAGAGAGAGTATACAGCAAATGCAACGCCTTGCTCCTTGTTTTAATTTCTGTATCTTTCAGAAATGGTAAAATTAGCTGAAGTGCACCTTTTTTCTTCATTTTTCTTCTCACTTTTGAAGCGCAAGGATGGGAAGCAATGCTGTTTAGAGCTTCTAATAGATGACCTTGAACCACAGGGCTGGAAAGATTCAAAAGTGAGAGCATCTGCTGAGCCACACCTTGATTAACAAGAACTGTTTCTGACTGCGCAATTCTCGCCAGAATAGCTGATGCAGGCTCACGCAGAGTCATGAGCACAGATGTTACAGAGAAAAGAAGTTGCAGCAGAGATCCTACAATGCCAGTTCCGATCAAACGTTGCACATTTTCTGTCAAGCTGGAAAGGTTTTGCAGTGCATTTAGAGCTGATAACTTGGACTCAAGTTTCCCGGAATTGAACATTTTCACAAGGGGCTCAATTGCCCCCCCTTCTTGTCCAAGGGCAAGTTTGCTATGATCAGTGAGCACCAGCCTAGAAAGTGCTGTTGCCATGAGGATCTTGTTCATATCACAACCTGCAATATCACGGGTTGAAATTTTCATGTAAAAGAAATTCAGAGAAATTTACTTCAGTTCTGGTTCTCGTCTCATCTATAAACTACACACATAACAAACTAAAGATGAAAGCAATCGGCCTATTATGATGCCACATCGATGATTAATGTAATGTTGATGAATTAGTTTATTTAATTTACAGCCAATCCTGTCTTTTAAGTTCAAATAGGTTACATGACTTAAAAATTTCGTCGGTTCCATTTTTTATGAGTTATGACAGTTGACAGGGCTTTGTTTACTTCCTACCAATTGAATTAGAAAGTAAGCATCATAAACACTTTTTGCAGTGTTGATATTAGATTTAGAATTTAGATGGTCAAATACCTTATTTTTTGGCTGGATCAATTTTGATTTCTCATTGTAATTATTATCATATATAAACATAACATTACCTTTACATTTGAAGAGACTGATAATTAGTCAAGACATTCTCAGTATGATAGTATTGAACCAATTAGCTGGAATCCATTTTATACATTTCGATAAATGAATAGTAAACACCAGCTATTGCATAGGTCTGAACATTGGTTATCATGCAAAACAAATTTGTTATCGGTCTATGTGTATAGCATTTAGATAGAAGGAAACACCTACGTGTGCTAGATGTCTGAATGCAAAAAAGCCTAGACTAACAAAGTAAGGCTAAATTAAAATTTAGAACTAACTGCAAGTTATATTATCCTAAATAAACCCCTTACATATTATGATTTTCATTTATCACACTCACACCTCCACATCTCCACATGCACTCAATATATTTACAAGCTGTCATTAATGCCCAAGAACTTTTAGCGGACTGCTTAGGTAAAAACAAATGCCAAGTTTGCAGTTTCTACAAAATCAACCAATTATACTACTCAAATCACTTGTATTAACATTATCAAGAGCAAACTAATGGAAAGTTTTGCATCACCTTCACTCAAATGCTTCACTAGTGGCCCAAAATAACCAGCCTCAGCCATATGAAGAGCATTTTGAGTATTATTCGATAGAACATCCAACAACTTTGCTGCATTTCTTGAAGCAACAGGGTCAACTCCATTAAGGATAGAAACTAACATAACAATACACCCTTGAATTCTTCCAATCTTCCGTCTAACTACAGGAAGATCAGATAGTTCTAACAACAGTCCCACTGCTTCCCTCCTCTCTTCGGTGTCTCTTGTTAGGGACTTCACCACTGCTGATAATAACTCAACATTTGTCATCTTCTCCTGCATAATACTATTTCATAATGTAAGATAACAAAAACTAGAAGTGAAGTGCAGTGTCTTTAGACCAACGTGTATGACAAATGTACCTTTGTCTCATCATTTCCCGAAGCAATACTTCTTAGCAATTGAATGATGGTTAACCTATTGCCTGCCTTACATGAACACAGACGATTAAAAAGAACAAAAACAACAGCTTCAACATTAATTAAACCACTATCCAGTTTTCCATCCCAGATGAACTTTTTAAATCTTAAAAGTGCAACTGCCAATTCTCCAGCATCACCATTCTTAAGCTGTAGTAGAACATCATCACTAGTAACTTTAATTATTTCCTCTTCTATTTCCCCTCTCACTTCCACTTCACTGACAAATCTTGATATTGAACTTGAAGTTAGATTCATATTCCCACCAAATCTCGCATTCATCAGCTGTTTTTGCAATGTACCAATCTTTTCTCTAAACTCTATGCACACTTCATGGCTGGCCACAAGCAGCATGCCTAGTGATCGACCAAGATCATGTGCTATGTCCTCAATTCGTTTGACGGGGTCTTTCAAAGAGGAGCTTCTGATCAAAGTTTTAGCACGACCAAGCTCATTCATAAGAGATTCCAATGACTTTCTAATAGCTGGCTTGTCCATGATTGTGCTTTTGTCTCTCAAATCACTGAAGATTGATGCAAGTTTCTCAACCAACAAGGCAAACTCAGTAAAAGCATCCTGTATCTCAATTTCAGGATTCTTAGCAAGCGAAGCAACCTCATCAGCCATAACTATTAACTCTGACACGAATTCATACAAGTCTCTCTTGTCCTTCATATTTATGACAACTGTAATTTTGAAGGAAGAAAAAAAGAGATTATTTCAGCTATAAAAGAGATTATAATTGATAAACAACAAATAAGAAATGATTAGAAACAGAAAGCAAAGCACAAAAGCAGTAGAAGAAAGAAAGTGAATAAAACCTGTAGAGCGACCGCAAGGATGGCTTACAAAACTGATTGTCTTACTTTGAGCTACGGCCCCACATGATCAAAGATAAGAAGTTTCAGAAATCCAAAGCAAGAAGCAAAGAGTAAGACCAGCCACTTCTTATTTTTGTAACGGTTGGTCTTGAATATGTAATTTTTTCAAGTTTGAAGTTTGGAATATAGTAAGGAGAAGTCCTTCTCAGATTGGCATGAGCCATTAAAATAAAAGATTGTGTTATAATTATATGGTTGTCATATTTTTCCTCTTCCTACGGATGGATAGAAAGACCAAGTCAAAATCAACTAACTTTTTTCCTCACGCGTTGCTATCTCTCTACACTTCAAGAGTCTCCGTCTTCCTTTTTGTTTTTTGGTTCGTTGAAAGAGAACCATTTCTACTAAGTGCGTGCTTGAAAATGTAACTAACTCATTCGCTTGGATTGTCGACGAGCTTGCTTGTTCATGAGATTCGAGAGTTAATTTTAGATGCACGAGCTAGTAATAGTATAGAGAGGCTGAGTTCCTTACACGTGATTGTGTTGTTTGATACTTCTGTTGGCTTGGGAGTTGGGGTGATAAACAATGAATTCTCAAGCTGCTCTAACAAGGCCCAATGATGTGTACCGCGAATTTCCTCCTAGCTTTGTGGGCCTTTTAGCCCCAACAAGCTTTTGATTTTGCGGGCTTGTCCCATGTCCCATGTCCCATGTCTTTTACACGTGTTCATTAATTATTATTTTTTAATCATTAATTAACTCTTAATTTTTTTTATTCTTTTCCTTTTTCTAATTCTCAAAATAAACACTCCTATTAACATATATAGTTATTTGTGATGTATGATAGTAATACAAAACTAGTGTATAGGTATGCCAGCTGGGTTTTTTTTTTATAAAATAAATATGAACGAATTTTAAAAAAATAAAAGAAAGTAAAATAATATAAATTTTTATATATAAATATTTTTAATTTTAATTTATATATATTAAAATAATTTTTTAATTATATTATTAAGCGGGACGGGTACAGGAGTAGCTGTGGTGCAAGTATTAACATCCTTGTTCCTGCTCATGCTCCTGATTTTATTAATCGAAAAAATTCGAACCCGAATCCAAACTCGTTAAACACAAATTTTCTCGTCTAAATCGGGGTGAGTTCAGACGGATACTCATGAGATGAGTTAGATTGCCATGCCTACTAGTATGTGACTTATATTCTTTATAAATTTTTTATTTTGAGTAAAAAAAAATAAGAATTTAAAGTTTTTTACATATCGTAAGAAAAAAATTATATTTATAAAAATAACAAAGAAATTGACGGTAACAATTAAAAAAAAATTAAGAAAAATAATTAAAAGACCAACGTCATCCATTTACACAACAGAGAAGCGAGCGAAAGACAAAATTTACGAAACCAGTACAATCCCGAGCTAAACCCGAAACGTTTATTTGGTTGCGTTCCGTTCCGTTCCGTTCCATTTCAGATCATAACTACCATTTTGTCATCACTCTCAGGTCTCAGCTGCTCGGAGCTTATAGATCGAGCGCCAAAAGGTTAGGTTCTTCTCATTTCCTGCAATTTCCGTTCGTTCCTAATGTATTTGCCTCGCTTTAGTTTTGTGACTGCTCATTTTTTTCATTTTGTTTCTCGGTTCGTTGAAAGAGAACTATCTCTACTTAACCATTATTTTTTTTTCTCGATTGATCTGGTCTTGTATGATTTAGTCTAATAATGTGTGCTTGGGAAGCTAACCAAATAGGATCAGATCGTCTTTATCACAATTTTTTGGGGTGTTACTTGAAATCTGAAATCGTACTCGATTTGAATCATGCCCGTGGAATGTCGATGTGCTTGCATGTTTTGCTTCAGGTGTTCTTTGTTCATGAGATTCGACGGAGTTTATTTTAAGTGATTGATAATCAATAAATTCTCACGGTTCTCTGCCAAGGATGTGATGCGATTCTATTTCGTGGCTTTTTGTGACAAAAAGCCTTTGAGGATAATGCATATGGACTTCTCATTTCAAATTCTGATCCAAATCAATTAGTCTCATTTGGTGTTACCATACCTGGATCTCGATTCTTGCAATTTTAGGTTTTGATTTTTATAGTTATTTTAAGATTGTTAAATACGAAGAGCTTCAAAGTCTCTCCCAAATTGCTTGAGTGATTGAAAAATATGAGTAACGTAAGTTTGATGGTAAAAAGGGAGAAAAGAGATTGTCGTGTGATATTTGTTAAGAGCATAGAAAAAATCTTCAAATATCTGTTATTGTTATCATGATGCATCAGTGATTCAGCCTTTCGTTTTCATATTATTTTGTTAAATCTGATAGTTATAATGTTCTTTGTGAACTTTTACTCATATAGGTGTGATATTTCGAGTTAGTCAGATCTAGGTGATCTTTTAATTATGAAAAGAAGGGCCGACAACTGCTAATCCTAATTTCATTTTTTTAAGAGCTTAATTTAAAGAACAAGTTAAATTAATTGTTCCATGCTGTTAATGCTCGCAAAGACATAGACCACCCATAAAAGAGACAAGGAGTTTTGGTGAAATCAACATCATCTATGAGGTTCTACTTGGTCCACACTTATCACAGTTCCAGAATATTTTGCCAGAATTGTTTTAATCAAATTGTGCTAACATTCTGCTGCTACTCTCAAGTAGCACAACCTATTTTCTTATCTACTTTTCTTTTGTAAGTGGCATTTTTATTGACGAGAAGGGGATGCTTGTATAAATTCTGCTTAGATCCTTAATCTGCATCAGACTTTTGGTAGCAGACCTGTGCTGCAATAGCTGTTATGAATGAGTTTACTGTTGAACCTTTGAAATTACAGCAATTGTTTTTGGTACTTTTCATTTAATAGACTTGAACATTGATCATTTGTAGTGTTTCCTGTATTTGTCAAGTGACAATGTGTCAGCAGACTCGGCACAGATACTGATATTAGAGAATATATAGGCTGATTTTTTTAAATAATAATTTGGTGTTGATTAATTTTTATTTTTTGGTTAACAACTTAGTTTGTGTTTGGGAAAGATGATTTTCCCACTTTTTAGCTGTTTGTATATAAAATCAGCTGAAAATTTGAAGCTTATGATTTTAAAAAACTGATTTTGTTTGTTGTATCCAAACGAAATAAAATATCTCAAAATCACTATTTAGCAAACTTACCCAAACAAAAATTTATTCTGATTATAATCAATTATAACAATAATTGATTATATATAATCTATTATTTAAATAATTTAATTTTCACAATTTTTCCAAACACACTCTTAGTGTATCTGATTTCAAAATCCCAAAGACTTAAAGGGTTGACTCTACCTGTGGGCTCTTTTGCCCTTATCATACAACTTTGTTTATTTTTTAAAGTTTGGTCCTAGCCTGGTGGGGCCTTTTGGCTATACAGGCTTTTGGATTTTTCTGGCTTTTCAGCCATGACTAGTTTAGGCTAGGTCTGCTGATATTGACAATTCTAATTGTATACTTGACATTGGGATCTGGTGGCTCCTAACAACATCATGGACTTTGTTTTTTTGGCAGATTCAATTTGACACTGGAAGCACTTTCTCATTTCAAAGATCAAGTGAAAACATGGTAACACTTCTCGTTTCCTAGCAGTCCCATAGTTAAATATTTAAGGACAAATGACTTGTTGGATTTTCTTGACTATTTAACATTAGTTATTTGATTTTGCTTGGACTAATTTATTTTAATCATCACTTTGTTACTTCTTATACTATATTCACGTTGTTGCTACTCCAATTTGTTGTACAAATGTAGTTTTAAACCATGATCTAGAATAAGGAACCTCCATATATATTTTGATCTGCTTTGAAATTGAAATCCTGTAAAAATATTTTCCTTCCCAACTGTGGTAACATTGAAGCTTGAATTTGCTTCAAGATTGCTCGAAATTCTTGATCTTCTGTGTGTTGTTTTTTAATTTGGTTACCTCAATTATCTACTTAACTTTGAATTCTTAATGTAATCCTAAATTAGTGGTGGCCTTGATTGTCTGAGCAATTTGCTCACCAAATGCCAGTGGGGTGTTGCTCAAATGGTGGGGGTAGGATTAGGTTTAGACAGGTCAACAGGCTCAGTCCCTTGTGTAAACTGAAAAAGATAGCTTTTTAGCCAAGGAAAAGAAGAATTCACTTGGGAGTGAGAATGGTATACTTTCTTTCTAGCTGTTATTGACTTCCTCTATGCTCCATTAAATTTTTGTTTTTCTTGTTGAACAGGTTGTCCTTGCTGCATCCATTGTGAGCAAATCTGGCAAAGGTGAGTTCTCTGTGTCCCTGTATCACTGACCTTTTCCTTTGAAAGAATAGTTGACTTCTTTCTTTTCAGTAATCTGAACCTAAAACACAGGCTATATAGTTTTAGGAATATAAGATATAAATTCCTAGAAGGGCTAGTTGCTTTCAAGCTGCATAGATACATTAGTTTGACATGTGGGGAATCTACCATCAAAGTTCTATATTTTGATTTGGTTTGTGGTTCCTGATGTTGAGATAACCAAGTAACTAATATATGCTGTATGGCTAAAATTGGGATACATGATCTGATCTGTATCTTTTGCTCCATGTTTTCTTTTATCTGTAAAATCTGTCTTCCCTTGACTCTGTCAGCAACATAGATTATAGAGTTATGAAATTCTTTTCCTACTCCAATAACTCAATCTCTTCGTTGTGCATGATTCTTAATATTTTATCTTATTAATTGGCCATTACTTAATTTGTTAATTCAAGATGAATTCTTAGTTTGTACAGTGAAGCTTAATGTTGAATTTGGTGGTACTTAAACAATAATGGGATTCGACTTCTATGCTCTTATACCAACAAAGCTTTTGTGTTGTTTGCAGTGCTAGTTTCTAGACAATTTGTGGACATGTCTCGTATCAGAATTGAAGGTCTTCTAGCAGCATTTCCCAAGTTGGTAGGCACTGGAAAGCAACACACATATATTGAGACAGAGAATGTGCGCTATGTTTACCAGCCAATGGAAGCACTATACCTGCTTCTTGTAACAAACAAACAAAGCAACATACTTGAAGATTTGACAACTCTGAGACTTCTCTCCAAACTTGTATCCTTTTTTTGTGCTTTATGTTTACTGTAGTATGTTATAATATTAACTCAATTTCTTGGTTTTGTCTTTAACTTCGCAAGAGTTGGCTGGCCTGTAACTAAAGTTTGTTTTCTGCCTTGTCTACTCATTTTGCTATCATTTTGGTTTTTTTCTTAGAGTTTTAATGATACAATCATTCAATGTAGGTTTCTCTTCGACATTGCATTCAGCATATTGATTTTAATAGGAAGGTTCAGGAGGTTTTAGGATTGATCAATTGGTTTGTACTAGGAGGTTATTTTAGCTTTTTTGGTTAGTTTTTTGCCAAAATATCATGCTTATAGTTATAATTAGTTCATTCCTTAATACTTTTAGGTGCCTGAATATTCTTACTCTCTTGAAGAAGAGG